AAATAAATCCAATCGAAAAAAAAAGTTGACCGACACTATGTTTGATTGGGACGTTCAATCGGCGTTTTAAAAGCGACGGATTTAATTTTTTAATAAAAGCAGAACGCGGGGTCGACCCATGTCCCGCGTTCGTTCGGGATTCTTTACTCCCCTGCCCTCGACCTCGGAAGAAGCCGCGAAGTGGATTTCTGATAGGAGTGGAGTACAAGGATGAAGATGGGAGTTTCGGTGGTCTATGTAAGCCGCGATCTCGTCGTTCCCTTCCCAGGTAGCCGCGATCCCGTCGTTCTCTTCCCAGAGCAGCGATCCCAAAGCTCGAGCTTCTATAGGTTGCTCGAGCCCTCTTCCACCTCCTTCCTCTGCGAGACGCATGACACGGAGAGTCCGCCTCTCCCTTCCTCTGCAAGCCGCCGCACGATAGGGTTACGAAGCTGCGATTGGAGTTCTCCTTTACTATATCGCTCGGGTGAGCCGTTCAAGCCTTCCAAGTACTCAATCGAGTTTCTCCTTGTTCTCCCTCCTTTATTTTGATGCTCGTGGCACTCTGCATAGTCACTCAAGCTATCTTCCTTGTATTTCGATCGCGAAAATGGAAGGAAATGATCGTAGCAGGTGAGCCGCTCCTATTCTTCTCCTCCTCTTTTTTTCTTTTCCCTTTACTATAACTGTTGTTTCTTCAACTTCTTCCTTCTCAATTCTACAGTTTTATAATATCCTCACACTATTTCATAGAAAATTTTTTGAGAATGATTTTATTCCTAATGCTGGTGTTTCCTTTAACGAGTTTACCAATCATATAGATAGTGATTGTGTTTGTTCTGCCTGAAGAAGATTTTTTCATTGTTTACATGAAGCATAAGCCTTAGAAGTAACATCTTACAAGTTATGCTTGTTTTATTATTGATAAAATTTTACTACTGCATTTGAAAAAATATATAATAATTGGGATTTTCCAATAAGCTTGTGAAAATTTCTTTAAAAGCTTAGTAACTGCAACTTATCAAATTATTGTCCAATGGAGAAGAATAAAGCAGGTTACAAGTGTTTCATGATCCTTAATAACATTTCATTTATGCCTGAAAAATCAATCATTCCAGTATGTTTTTTGCAATCTATATGTTGTTGGAGCTCTAATTGCATGAAAATGAAAGCAGGTTAGTTTATGCGTTCATTTCTAAGCTTTGTAGGAGAAATTATAAAAACAATCAAGAATGGTATTTCTTGATTCTCAACTGTCAAATTTGTAATCGTTAAAATTCTAGTATAGACTGCAACACTGCGCATGTCTGGAAGGTCTTTTAACTACAAAAAACTGTAAATCAGCTGTTTTTCAAACGCACGAACCAAACAGCTAAACAGCTTATCCGAAACAGGGGCAGAATAATCATTTATCCAGAATCAGCTATTTTCCAAACGCAGAAACCAAACAGTTATACAGCTTATCTGGATCAGCTCCTTATCAATAGATTATCAGGATAAGCTGGATAAGCTACAGCTGCCCAAAACAGACCCTAAGTTAATTCTTCCCAATTTGACATGTCCTGATGCATTCTCAACATGTCAACTTAGCTATCAATGTTATTTTACTTCCCAAAACAAGGATTCATACAACATAATAAGTCAAAAAGAAAGAAGGGCATTATGTTTTATGTAAATTTATGTGCGTGCGCGTGCAAATTAGTAATAACCTCACAAGTGCTCCACCTAAGGGTGAATAAAATAAGAGCGTCAATGGATAATATAATAAAGTGCTTGAAGCTTTAAAAAATACAAAAAAAAAAATAACATAACAAAATGGTACTAACCTCAAAAGTGCTCCGATAATTAAGGGAATTGCATCAATTTGGATTGTGCGCCGACAACCAAGCTTTTCAGTTAGAGAGGAAGAGCTTATGCATCCAATAAATGCACCAACTATAAATATGCTAACCACAAGACCTTCAAGAATAGGGTTCCCGATGAAACCAAGTTCCTTTGCAATGGCTTCTATTGGCCCATTCATCACCCTAAACATGAAGAAAATTACTAAAGAATTACTATAAAAAATACACATAAAATAAATAAATAATTATCAAGAAAAAATAATGAATAAGTTGCCTGGTAAAACAGTAACAGAATCATGAAATACCATTTAGCTCTACGAGCATCATAACAATATTTGGAATTCTACCATGACCTTTGTTAAGGTTATAGCAAGTTTATATTTCTGCCACCATCCTCTCTGCTAAGACATACAGAAATGCAACCTCTGTTCTGACAATATGAAGATATCATATACCTTCAAGAGATTCAGAGATTCTTCTAATGAAATGCATTATTGTTCCTTTAAGAAAATTCCAACACTCTTATTAGCCAATTGAAAGATGTTGAGATATGTTTTCATGTTCTTATAATGCAGCATGACGAGACTGATAGTAGACTGCATTCCTAGATAAGTTTATAGCGAGTTTATGTTTCACAAACAGGTCTTTTATTAATACATCAAGAAATGTTACTTTGTTTTGATAAGATGAAAAAAATAAGGAACTCAGGGATTCTTCTGATGAAATGCATCAGTGCTCGTTCAAACTTCTGAATGCCAAAACTTTTAATAGTCGATTGAAAAATACTTTCGAGATATGATTTCATTTTGTTATGGTGGTTCGTGTAATTTCGAAATAGGCGAAAAATTAGCCTCATAAACAAACATTGATAAAATAAAATAAAATAAAAAGCATCTCCTAAATGCCAACACGGGCCTGGAGACCTTATGTGAAAAGAATTGAACTCACCCTATGTGATATCCAAAGAGGAAATTAGCCATGGATGCGGTGAGAACGTGAGGAAAAGCAGGTAGCCAACTGAAATCCCAATTAAAATCTTCACGCAAAGGGCTCAAATTTTCCTCGCCTGCATTGGCATTCTCATCTAATCAAGGGAGGGAATGATCTCATTGAAAACTCAGCGGAGGAAAAAGAGGAAAAAAGAAGGCGATCTCCAACCTGGGTCTTGATGGCGCTCTTTGGATGATCTAGCAGCTAGCAACTCTCTTGCAGGAGTCGCCTGCGAATCCAATAAACCTTTCCTATCCCTACTCTTACCTTTACCGAAGTCGAGCCTCTTTAGAAACAAGGGAGCACAAGCAAACCTACAGCTTGGAGGGTAGAAAAAAGTAGCAGACGACATCGCCATAGCCGCGAAGGATGCCATGGCGGCGAAGAAGGGAACTTGGAGGGGTTTTAACTAAGCGAGAGCTAGATCTTTGGACCATGGAGATTGGAGAGTGTATCGTATCCAGCGCATGGCTTATCTTATTCGATTTTGGACTGAAATTGTTAAATTATTTGATCTTCTGATTTATTCATTCAATTTCTATTTTCATAAAAAGTTTATTCTAATTTCATATATATATATATATATATATATATTTTATTGTGTGATTTAATTTTTTTTTCATAAATAGGAGAAATTTGGATCTAGAAATCAAATTGAGATTGAATTAAAATATATGGAAGTAGTAAACTGTGTAAGAATATCCTTTTTTATATTAGGATTAATTTGAAAGAAAAACACAATCCTTTATTAATATAAAGTTACAAGATTCAATCCACATCAAATTAGAAAGGAAGAGAATATAAAGTTTTATTTGTTTAGTTTTTACTACTATGGTAAAAGTAATAAAAAACAATCATTGGTTGGAGAATGATGATCTGCATATGACAGTCAGATACTGATCATTAGATAATGACAGTCAGACGATGATAAATGGATGATATAAGATTGGTGACAACGGTCGGATAGTAGCAATCAAATGAAAATAATTATTAGTGATGATTATAGGTTGAACTCTAAAGTTCTTTTTGGTTATATTTTATCTTTTATTTTAAGTTGACTTTTTATTCATACGAAGAATATATGTTTATATATAAGTTTTTGAAGTGAAATTTTATTAATTTGGCCTAATGTTTAAAACATATTGGATAGCCCGTATTTTTCCTTAGAAGGTTTAACGGTTAAACCGGGGCCTGAACCAGTTGACCTCATAAACATAAAAAAAAAAATTAAATATAACTTAAATGACAAAAATTAGATAGAATTCAATATGGAAGGTCAACAAGAGGGAAACATATTCAAGTAAATATAAAAAAAAAGTAATAGAGTAATATTCATTCATATTTCCAAAAGATGAACAAGAAAATGAAGCTGAAATATTTAGAACAAATCACATTCTTCATGATATCTAAAGATTGAAATCATTCTTCATGATTTACAATAAAAATATAGCATAAGCTAAAAATTACACTAATCAGTTGACTGATTCGAGCATTTGTTCTAGTCGGTTAAAGGTTTGACCGCCAGCTCCAACCGGTTCATTCTTGTTTAATGCAGGCTGATTTTCAGTCCTACCAGACCCAAACCACTTGTCGGTTCACTATCAAACTCATTGAACTGGCCAGTTTGGTCCGGTTTTTAAAAAGTGGTCCAAAATTATAAAAGAAGAGAATCTGATAGAAACCGAAGTACATCCTATTATAAATGTGAATGTGAGTGTCTTAACCTAGATGGTGTTAATGACTTGGATAATTTAGGAAGATCACAAGTTATCGAAAATGATACAATTGTTGTAAATAAGTATTTGAAAATATTTCAAGATCTGCATCCACCTTTGTTCAAGTGAACTGAATACCCGATTGAAGCGAAGAACTGGCTAATGAGGACAAAGAAAATTCTTGATAGCATGACTTATCTAGATGAAAGAAGAGTATAGTTAGCTACTTTTGTGTTGGATGGAGAAGCCGAAAGGAGGTGTAAATTCTCTTGCAACTTCTCTTCTTTCTTATTTAAGTATGAATAACTCATTTAGAAGAAAATTGATTTCTTTGAATCACCTCTTCTGAAGGCATTGATTTTTTTTTCCCTCATATTAGAGGTTCGATGCTATTTTGGATTGGAGAAATATTTGCCCTTTGCTAGATTTATTGACACCACCGTTTTCTCTAGCATGAGTTTTGAATTAACTTCATGTAGATGTGAGGCATTCTCTTTTTATAATTTATGATTCAAAACAAGGTTCAGCGTCATCATACAAAAAGAAATATTCTCCTTTCATAAGCTCCACTGGTTTTTAAATAAGTGGCATGTTGCTTCATCTAGAAATTGTTATTATATGACAAGAATTTTGAGGCATTTTTAGCAAGAAATAATGAATGTTTAAATTCAAGATTTAATAGGGCTCTAATTTTAGCAAGGATATAGTCAAATTAGTGATCTCGACAAGACAAAGCTGATATACCAAAATTTATTTGACCTGAATCCAATAAAACCTAGATTAAGTCACTAAAGCTCTTTTTGAGATTTTTAATCATCAACTGTATGGTCAAATGAACACCAAATTTGACATATTTATATTCAAATTGAGTGTCTCAATAAAAAGAATCCAATGAATCTATGATCACTTAATTTCAATGTCATTAATGTCCTCAAATTACCAAAAAAAAAATCCATGATATAGGAGGATCAATTTGGGTCATTAGATCTAGTGGATGGGGAAATTATTTGCCGAATGACCAAAATGTCAATCCTCCCAAGGCTATAAATATAGCGCCACTCTTAAAATGAGGAGGAAGAGGAGTCAAAATTTAGTGTTATTATGGACTAAAGACCAGACGATATCTTCTAGTCTCTGCAATTGTCGACCACTATCAACCACCACCTGCCCATCAACAATCATCGGCCACCCCTGCTTCTCGCCTTTAGTCAACTTTGTTTGCTACTAACATATCTTAAATACAATGTAACGAATGACATCATATTGAAGAGCGGACAATAAATTTTGGCCTCCATATGGTAGACCACCATTAACCATCACCCGTCGACCACTGTCACACTATTGGCCACTCATGCTCGTCGTTGTCAACCAACACTACTTGCTAATGCATATCCAAAATATGGTGTACAAATAACACCATACTAAATATCCGATGATAACTCACGACAACTACTTTCGATCATCATTTTCAAATTACAATGATTTTATTTAGCTCCTGAATTTTTATCTATATTGTATATAGACAAGTGTCATATTTGGTGCAAAATTGTAACCTCATTCTTTCGATTATCAAAAAAGGGTGTATCATTGTATTGTCACTCTTATAATAGATTACTTCATCTATGTTAGGCCCCAGGATTTTTTTCTTCTCAGGATTTTTTCACATGAAAAAATTTGTTGATTTCTCCTACAAATTTTCAAGGTATATGTGTTGTGTGATTTGATGTATCTTTGTGCAATGCTAAGAGATTAACATATCAATCTACCACCGTGAATCTTGTGATATGGAAGAAGCTTCATTATCCCCCATAGGCTTTACAAAATTCCCTCTTTGCAAGCTCTAAGTACTCATACGTATCAGTGCTTAATACTTTCATAGATAGATGATGCAAATCTCCCTTGCAAGCACTAATGCTTCTCTGCCAATAATAAAAAATGTTCTTCCATTTGGCGCTACTTCAGAACATTGGGATGCGTGTCGACAATGCTAATATGAACAAAGCTTGTCTAAAGATATTTTTTTTCTATTTTGAATAGATCATTTAGTTGACACAACAGAACGTGAACCGCGGGCTGACAGGGTACTAACGCAAATAGCGCCAACGTGGATAAGTAGAAAATTAAAAGGTATTTCTGATTTAAATAATTACATAAACTTAAAAAATTCATAACTTGGTGTAAACAATTGCAAATGTTAAAAATAAAATAAATATACCCCTGTGCTCAGTAAATAAAAGAGAATAATGTGAACTAAAAATTAAAAATATTTGCTTTAGTTAAGTAAATGGATTAACATTGAAAATTCTTATTTTTGAACTAAATTAATTCCATAAAATAAAATAAAAATTAGAAATATATATATGTATATATATATATATATATATATATATA